AAAAACTTTATCTTCATAAGGATTGTATTTTTTTTACCATGCAACAAAATCCGGAAGCAATCGATCGATTGAATAACACACCTTAAGTTATGCTGACCAATGCTTCTATGTGATGCGACGGCATCAAAAAGCAAAATGGCATTTTTAACTCATTGCGATTCATGTTCAACATTAGTTTCACTCTTCAATTCAATATGATCATCATTTGGTGTAAAATTTGCTTTATTTTCAGTGTGCTATTTTGTTCAGCATAATATTGATTTACTTCAGTGTGATGTAAGCATTCAAGATATGATAGTCCTGTATTAAATTAACATTAATTATATTCGGCATGAAATACAACATACGATTTTCCATGAATTCATATATGTGACTTTTTACTAATCAATAATCTAATAGGTGTAAAAATCAATATGTGTATGAGTGCATATTTGAATAGAGTGATCATCATGTTTTGGAGGTAAAATAACTCTTCACTTGTATCAGTCTTCCTTATACTTACTTTTGAGTCTTGGAAATTGTAACGATACCTCGTTTTCAAGTATAACTATTAACAGACGCATATATAACACTGTGGTAATACACTATTTCATAGATATGAACAAAATTTAAAGTGTACACCTATCTTTGCAAATAACAATCATGAATCTTGCTTTCATGATAATAGAATATTTCAACTGTAGTATGTTTTGTTAGTTGATGTTATGACATGAAACTATCTCATGATCAAAATCTATGATGATGTAAACAAAATTATTCTTCAGTGATAAAATGATTCTTTGATCTCGAAAATGTTATCAATAATTACAAACCTACCTAGTTGTTTATGACAAATACAAATCTTTAACAATTAAAACTACTATATCAAAATACTGTGTATAATGTAGTGATCAAACTGTAATACTACGTGATTTCAACAGTTTTAAATGGACTCTGATCTTGAATTATAATGCTCCACATGAAAACTTGAAAAATATTTCTCAAAACAATCAATTCAATTCGTAACACTTTAAGTTTTAAATGAAAACATGTATCGGTGAGACTATAATTTATGGATGACCTTTGAGAGACATCAAAGTGACCATGAGAGTGTCTACCTACTTACTAGGGCTAAATGAGGGTTTATAAAGTAGTTTGAAATATAAGGATTATGATTCACAGTTGATGGTTAAGGTTAAGAATTAGATTTGCGGTTTTTCATCACGAACTGACATCAGGTAAAATGGTAAAACTCATATTTAACCAAATGAATGCGTGAATTTCGCGCCTAAAATCGAAGACCTGTTATCCTAAATCTGAATTGTTCGTCCATAAATTGTAGTCTTACTTAAATATCTTCAGTTTTCTATGTCAGAAAAAAGACATGAATTTAGTACAAATCAGTACTGTAGTTTTATCATGTAAAGTTATATAATGCTAAAACGTAATGCATTTGAAAACTGACATTGACATGAATTTCTCAGAGTAACAGTGAAGTGAACAAGAACACCAGTGGGAACAATAGAATATAGTTAACACAAAATTACAGGACTTGTTAGTAAAATCTAACAATCAAATAGTATATACGTAATTTGCAAAATGTCCATCAACTGTCTCATAATGACTCCGACTTCATTGTTCTTGCATTTTCATACAAATTGCATTCTATTTCCATTCTTTACTGTTCCATCCTCTCGTCTCTCTGCTTCCAGACCTTCTGTTCACGACTAACATCATATACTACCTATGTCAATATAAGTAGCACACACCACAACAGTAGGAAAACTAGGATTCATGAAATTAACTAAGTAATTAGTGAAATAGTTATTCATCAATGATGATGAACATTGATGACATTCTTCCGTGAATAGTTATATACATGTATTAATGAACAATTTCAAACATATTAAAAAACCTAAATTTCTGAATTTTGAGTATTACAATCAAGTTAGTCATTGGTAAACTTATTCTCATTCTAGCTTCTCTTTACTAAATTAACTCAACAAACTATTAAACAAGATTTTTTCTGAATGGCATATTTAACTGATAAGGCGAGATATATACACACATAAATTATTAATAAAGGTTATGGGTTCGACCACGGATGTTGTATATATATTAACAATGTTGGGAAGTTCTAAATTAGAATGAAACATTTACCTTTTGTTTCTCAGTTCTCAATGGTTTCCTATCTAATATTAATCCATAGTGTGAAATATAGTGTTATTAGTTACTTTAATTATTGATTTTGTAACTTACTAAAATTAACAGTTGACGTTGTTTTGTTTTGTTTTTAATTTTTTTTAAAGGTACACAAAGTAACGTAATGACAGATAGAACAACTTATTACTCAAATATGAATGAATAAAATTGATAAAGAATAGGCAATAATCATTAACAATTTCACATAATTTTTGTTTTATTTGACATCATCTATGCATAATGAATAAATAACTACGTAAATATGAATTTCTGAGTTTGTTCTTTTTCTTTTTAATTATGTAAATGTTGACATAGCAACAAGTTTGTCAATATATGTACTGGTTAATTATGAAAAATGTCATTGATTCATGAGCTGAAGATAATATATTCTCTGAGTAATTACTTAATCATCATTGTTGTCAAATACATCATATCATCTAACTAATTATATACAATTTTGATTGTAAACAAGTCAATGAGAAAAGACCGTTTATGTTAGATGACTGAATATGGCCAGCAAGAAGCTTCTTATATCCAATAATCCATGATTTAGACATAAAGGGATATGATATCAAGTTATTCACACGAGTGGTTTATTGCAACTGAATCGATAAAATTTGATTAGTACTAAAGTATTAGACAAATATGACAGTACTGACCATTAAGTTATCAATCAATTTTAGATTCTGTATTGTTGTTAAATGTGTGTAATAAACTTCTATTTTCCAGTTAATTTTTGAGTATTTTAAGTGCTAAATAACGAGAAAATTCATAATATAATCAAGTAATAAGTAAATGTTTTACATTCACCTTTTAAAAGCCAAGCCCGATAGTGTTCTGAGATGCATTTGGAAAATGATCGGTTTTTGCGGCCTACCATTCTTCGATGTGTTAAGGATAAGCTTCTGCTTTGGGCCACATCAATGTGTATCTATAAATTTACTTGCTCATGTGGGGGACGGTACATAGGTCGCAAAAAGTGATCACTTTCCAAACGCATCTCAGAACACTATCCACTTGACTCTTAAAAAAGGTGAATGTAAAACAATTACTAGTTCTATACAGGAGCACTTAATAAACTGTGGACACATCGCTCCAAAGGATTCCTCTTTCAAGTAATAAGTTTTCACAGATTGAAATCATGAGTCAGTTGAAGCTAGACCACCATTGAAAACCCGGAGGCACTGGACGGCCGTTTCGTCCTAGTATGGGACTCCTCAGCAGTGCGCATCCACGATCCCGCACCACACGGGGCTCGAACCCAGGACCTACTGGCTTCGCGCGCGAGCACTTAACCATCAGACCACTGAGTCGGCACCCAACGGTGTTAATGTTTAACTTCAACCAATCCACGAAGTTGCGCCACCATATACCATTGTCTTCAGTGAGCTGATATCTCACAACAGACCTGGTTGTACTCCACTGGTAACGGCTTCCCACTAGAACTCCAGGAGTATCTCTTGAAATCAGTCACTAGTGAGCAGATGATTATTATCAGGAGGGGTTTGTGGAGATTTTTAGAAATTTTCACAGATTGAAATCATGAGTTTTCAACAATAAACAATCTTCTAATTATGTAATCTCGTTCGTAGATTATGTATAGAATTTAATATGAAAACTTATAATAGGCTGAATTAATATTTATGTAACACCAAAGTAAATAAACACTGAAATACAATGATCATTAGATTTTTCATTTAAATACTTTTGCATTGAGTAATCAAGATTTACTTTTCATTATGCCTTTTAACAGAAGTTTAGTGACTGAATCATTAAGAACTGAAAACTATCAGTATTTTGAAAATAATTACATTGTACAAATTATGTAACAGTTGGATATGATCAAGAAAGGCAATCATGATCTAAGATATTGTTGATAAATTTGTCATAATGAACAACGTTTACCTATAGGAAAATATAGTTCGGTAAAATAAATGTAAAAAAGATAATTAACTGATATTTTTGTATTATTGTTTGGTTGGAGTAGGTGACATGAACGTAGCACCTATGTTTCGGGCTATTTTGTGTTTATAAAAATAGGTTACTTAAAGTCCTAAAGCAAATGAACCCGGATCACTCAGCTTCACAATTTCAGACATTCTTACTGAGCTACTTGGAGCTCAAAGGACCTCTTGTGGGATTAAGATGCTTACAAATGATTGATCACTGGGTAGTAACTATTGTTATGTTTGTCTAATCATTTCAGTCCTGATTAACTACCTACAACCGATGGAAAATTCAACACGATGTCTAGTCATTTATACTAGTGATCGAATTTCATTCTCATTGATGGAATACGTCCGGAACTTAAAGGACTGGATGAATAATTAATAGGTTATCACTTAACGGTTTGTCATTTGTATGATATGGTTTCTATGTAACTTTCATTACAAATAAACTTTATCTAGAAAGCTATTGGAAGATAAATTTTTGTGTACAGCCATTTTACGCTAGTTTGAAATTCTCCGACATTGAACATATAAGGTAGAAATCCAAGACGATGTGGATAGAATATTTATTTGAAATGAAAACTCAGTTTATTGAAATTAGATTTTCAAACGTTTATCAAATATATAACTGTATTTATCAACGTTACTTAAAATAATTTTCTATTTTGACTTATTCGGTTACTGTATTTATTCTTAGACACGTTGACTTCCAAGTCTTCACATTACTAATTTAAGCAAACATGACAGATATGACATGATATATATATATATATATATATATATATATATATATATATATATATATATATATATATCAAAACTTGCAGTGCGTGCCAGATACCCATCATAAATAATAGATGACTGATCAATATGATGATGATGATGATGATGATGATGATGATGATGATGATGATGATGATGATGATGATGATGATGATGATGATGATGATGATGATGATGATGATGATGATGATGATGATGATGATGATGATGATGATGATGATGATGATGATGATGATGATGATGATGATGATGATGATGATGATGATGATGATGATGATGATGATGATGATGATGATGATGATGATGATGATGATGATGATGATGATGATGATGATGATGATGATGATGATGATGATGATGATGATGATGATGATGATGATGATGATGATGATGATGATGATGATGATGATGATGATGATGATGATGATGATGATGATGATGATGATGATGATGATGATGATGATGATGATGATGATGATGATGATGATGATGATGATGATGATGATGATGATGATGATGATGATGATGATGATGATGATGATGATGATGATGATGATGATGATGATGATGATGATGATGATGATGATGATGATGATGATGATGATGATGATGATGATGATGATGATGATGATGATGATGATGATGATGATGATGATGATGATGATGATGATGATGATGATGATGATGATGATGATGATGATGATGATGATGATGATGATGATGATGATGATGATGATGATGATGATGATGATGATGATGATGATGATGATGATGATGATGATGATGATGATGATGATGATGATGATGATGATGATGATGATGATGATGATGATGATGATGATGATGATGATGATGATGATGATGATGATGATGATGATGATGATGATGATGATGATGATGATGATGATGATGATGATGATGATGATGATGATGATGATGATGATGATGATGATGATGATGATGATGATGATGATGATGATGATGATGATGATGATGATGATGATGATGATGATGATGATGATGATGATGATGATGATGATGATGATGATGATGATGATGATGATGATGATGATGATGATGATGATGATGATGATGATGATGATGATGATGATGATGATGATGATGATGATGATGATGATGATGATGATGATGATGATGATGATGATGATGATGATGATGATGATGATGATGATGATGATGATGATGATGATGATGATGATGATGATGATGATGATGATGATGATGATGATGATGATGATGATGATGATGATGATGATGATGATGATGATGATGATGATGATGATGATGATGATGATGATGATGATGATGATGATGATGATGATGATGATGATGATGATGATGATGATGATGATGATGATGATGATGATGATGATGATGATGATGATGATGATGATGATGATGATGATGATGATGATGATGATGATGATGATGATGATGATGATGATGATGATGATGATGATGATGATGATGATGATGATGATGATGATGATGATGATGATGATGATGATGATGATGATGATGATGATGATGATGATGATGATGATGATGATGATGATGATGATGATGATGATGATGATGATGATGATGATGATGATGATGATGATGATGATGATGATGATGATGATGATGATGATGATGATGATGATGATGATGATGATGATGATGATGATGATGATGATGATGATGATGATGATGATGATGATGATGATGATGATGATGATGATGATGATGATGATGATGATGATGATGATGATGATGATGATGATGATGATGATGATGATGATGATGATGATGATGATGATGATGATGATGATGATGATGATGATGATGATGATGATGATGATGATGATGATGATGATGATGATGATGATGATGATGATGATGATGATGATGATGATGATGATGATGATGATGATGATGATGATGATGATGATGATGATGATGATGATGATGATGATGATGATGATGATGATGATGATGATGATGATGATGATGATGATGATGATGATGATGATGATGATGATGATGATGATGATGATGATGATGATGATGATGATGATGATGATGATGATGATGATGATGATGATGATGATGATGATGATGATGATGATGATGATGATGATGATGATGATGATGATGATGATGATGATGATGATGATGATGATGATGATGATGATGATGATGATGATGATGATGATGATGATGATGATGATGATGATGATGATGATGATGATGATGATGATGATGATGATGATGATGATGATGATGATGATGATGATGATGATGATGATGATGATGATGATGATGATGATGATGATGATGATGATGATGATGATGATGATGATGATGATGATGATGATGATGATGATGATGATGATGATGATGATGATGATGATGATGATGATGATGATGATGATGATGATGATGATGATGATGATGATGATGATGATGATGATGATGATGATGATGATGATGATGATGATGATGATGATGATGATGATGATGATGATGATGATGATGATGATGATGATGATGATGATGATGATGATGATGATGATGATGATGATGATGATGATGATGATGATGATGATGATGATGATGATGATGATGATGATGATGATGATGATGATGATGATGATGATGATGATGATGATGATGATGATGATGATGATGATGATGATGATGATGATGATGATGATGATGATGATGATGATGATGATGATGATGATGATGATGATGATGATGATGATGATGATGATGATGATGATGATGATGATGATGATGATGATGATGATGATGATGATGATGATGATGATGATGATGATGATGATGATGATGATGATGATGATGATGATGATGATGATGATGATGATATGATGATGATGATGATGATGATGATGATGATGATGATGATGATGATGATGATGATGATGATGATGATGATGATGATGATGATGATGATGATGATGATGATGATGATGATGATGATGATGATGATGATGATGATGATGATGATGATGATGATGATGATGATGATGATGATGATGATGATGATGATGATGATGATGATGATGATGATGATGATGATGATGATGATGATGATGATGATGATGATGATGATGATGATGATGATGATGATGATGATGATGATGATGAGCTCAAGAAATTTTCTGATCTGTAATAAAAGCACTAAGCTTTCTATCCTACATATACATTTTACATTTACAATAATTGTTTGCTTTTAATTATTTATGATCGACAGCTGAACTTATAAAAAAATACTCATTTTCAAGTACCACTTTTATTCAAGCAATTTATAAGTATACATTATTATTCTTTAATAAATCGAAAACAAATAATGATTTGATAGGCTGAAGAATGAAATAAAATCTTTCGTAAATTAGATAAATCTCCTTTGGGGAACATTTCAATCGTTGAATGTTTTCTAGCTGTAAAGCATTTTGTTGTTCAAACATTTCGAACTTGAAATTCAAATATTTCATACGAACTAATTTATTGTAAAATATAATCAGATTTGGTATTTGTGGAGACTGTAGTGATTTTAACAGTCGAATTCATGAATCGGTTAAAGTTAGACATTAACACCGCTGGATGTTGGATCAGTGGTTTACAGGTTAGGCGTCCCGGGTCCAAGCCCCACGTGCGGAGTCATGAATGAGCACTGATAAAGAGTTCTATACTAGGATGAAACCACCATCCAGTGTCTCCAGGTTTTCACTAATGATCTATCACTAGTCGGTTCATGATTTCAATGTAATCCAACAACATCCGGAACATTTTGTAATCACTGATAGTCCATTTTCGCACTCGATCAACGCGGAATGTTAATGTAAATATTGAATAAATTAACAATTTGAAATTAAAATACGTGATTTCGAAATAAAAATATGAGCAGGATATGTAGAGTTTGAGATGTTTGCGAAATACTTATAAACACTTCATCCTAATGTAGTGTTTCTTAATCTTAGATTCATTTCAACTACAGAACTCAGGGCTGACAAAATATCGTTATGTACAGTTAAGAATTGAAATCTACATTCCAGCAGTTATATATATATTTTTAAAGTAACTGGTTCGAATCAATCTTAAGAAATAATATAACATGCAGCTATTGAATAGAGTGTCTATACTTTACTCAGACATGAATGGTTAGTCAAAGATTCATATCTTCTTGGAATCAATACTAACTAACATCAGAAAGAGACGAAATGACATGGACTAAGCAATCTTCTCTCTTTCTCAATGTATTCTTGATATCAAACAATTCCCCTATGTCAACAAAGTTGTAACGATACTTTAAACTTCTAAACTTCTAAATGAACGATTACCAACAGTTTCAGAACAAAAATATTGATTTAATATTTACCTTTAAAAATAAGCACTTAATATAATAAATCTATTCGTGGATTAACCTGTTACTACGTATCACCATTACAATCAACAACAAAAATAATTCAAGTTTAATTTCATTTATTATTTTGATTAAAGGTAACACATTGAAAGAAAATAGTAAATTTTTACTCATAACTACAACTAAACTTTGTTTAGATCGATAAGTTACCACAATTTATCAAATCAACAAATCATGAAATAATCAGTTTATTTCTATGTGATTGTTGTTTAATTTCATCGTTACATTTTTATTTTTTTTGGGCGGTGGGGGGGGTAAGAGATTCTACAGTCATTGGTCAATAGAAGATTTCTCAATTAGCTTTTGATTCATTCCTGAATGCTTAAATAAATTTTGTTATGACTGCATCTATTACATTATGATGTTTGGTTAGTAACTGTTTAAAATGTGATTAGTCCATTCATAAAAACAAATTTATGCACATATATTGTATACAATCAGATTGTAATTTAAGTTGAATTATGTAACTTTAAGTAAATGATTAATTTTTTCTACTAGATATAGAAATTACATTAAATGATGAATAAATACATAATTTTATAGTTGAATTCATGAGTCGATTGAAGCTAGATCACCATGGAAAACCTGGAAGCACTAGATGACCGTCTCGTCCTAGTGTGGAACTCATCAGAAGTTCGCGTCCACAATCACGCCTAGCGAGATTCCAACCCAGGACCTTTCAGTCTTGCGCGCGAGGGCTCAAAAACTAGACCACTGAGCCAACCGGCATCCAACGATGTTAATGTCTGACTGCAACTAATCCACGAAATTGAGCGACACATCCACCATTGTCTTTAGTGAGTTACTATCTCACAACAGACCCATTTGAACTCCTGTGGTCACTGCTTCTCACTAGAACTTCAGGAAATACCCCTTGAAGCCAGTCACTAGTGAGCATATGATTATTGTAATCAGAGAGGGGTTTTGTGGAGATTTTAGTAACTTAATAGTTGAATTCATGAGTCAGTTGAAGCTAGACCACCATGGAAAACCTGGAGGCACTGGAAGGCCATTTCGTCCTATTGTGGGGATCCGTAACAGTGCTCATCCACGATCCCACTTCATGGGATTTAAACCCAGGACCTATCGGTTACGCACATGAACGCTTAACCTCTAGAAATAATTATCAAATTATTACATTTAACATTAATCAAACAAGCAATGAATCATTTGTAGTTATTTATTGGCGAAATATACAGATAATTTAATGAAAATAATGAAATATATTCGTAGAATATGATGCATTCCTATGATTCATTTCAAATAACAATCTCATTACGAAATGTACTTATCAAAGTATTTTAAATAAAAGTTGAAGTGTGACCATTTTCATGATTTAAATAGAAATGTTTCCAGTCACAATACTACTTGGTTTTTATATGTGGATTTGTGTTTTAAACTAATTTTTGGATTGAGATCATGAACCGATTGATGTTAGACCACCGTTAGAAACCTTAAAGCACTGGACGGCCGTTTCACTCTATTGTGGGACTCCTCAGCAGTGCGCATCCACGATCCTGCCCGCGGGATTCGAATCCAGAGCGTCCAGTCTCGCGTGCGAACGCTTAACCTACTGGACCACTGAGCCGGCATCCAATGGTGTTAGTGTCTAACATCAACCATCTTTCATTGTACTGAGGTAGATACTTGTCTCTACCCGACACCAATTGCAAGGAAACTTATTTTGAAGTGACCAGAACTGAGTTAATACTTATTCATATTTTTTACTTAGTTTTCTAGACTATGAAGATTGATTACGTTTAAAATTCCTTGACTTCATAGTTTAGCTGAAGTTATTGAATACGGTGTTTTTAGTTTCATTTAGTTTCGAGGATTAATTGTTGTGTCGATTATTGTATTTGTTAGGTCAGGTGCTTAACATTATAATTACAAGTGAGAAAAAAAACATTATTCAAATGAAGTATTTGATCTATATAGCTCATATCATAAGTTATAAGATGAATGTATCATCATCATGCACTTTCAATGTTATTTTGGAAAGAAAATTGAATGACGCGAACAGTTTTTTAGATTTAGTAAATATCTTGTTTTTTCAATAGTTTGTGTGCTTTAAAAACTGATAGCAATTAGTACACTCTTCAACTCTTGCGTAGAAAATTTATCTATTTGTAGGTGTATAAAGAAACCAATATATTCTAAATGAAGGCTTCAAATAATATCACATTTGGTTAGCTTTCAAGAATACTGTATTTTGTGATCTGTAGACTTACACAAACGAACTGGCTCGTTTCCTTGTTCATTATTTGAGTAAGAGTTCATTTCTTATAAGTCTTGATAGGAAAAAACTAACTGGAAATCAATATCACAAACCGAACTATAGGGTGAATATTTTATGATGTACATATGAACCAGTTAACGTTGTTAAATGTTTAGCAGTGGTGTTCATAGTTCACTCTTTAGCCAACTTAATTCATGTAAGGCTTTAGTCATAGTTTTATTACCCAGATTAGAAGAGTTATCGAAACCAAGTTAAGTGATAAAAATCATATCCTGTATATTTTGATGTTGTTCTGATTAAGCTAACTGGTCCCAGAGGAAGCCTGAAGATGGACAATTTCTTAGGCAGTTGTTTTCATACCATTTTTACTAGACAGTCGTGATCAGTAGGGCCTGCCACTTGGTTACCTGTCAGCTCCGCTGATCCCCATATTAAACAGTATCTAGGGCAATAAGAGAATTTAATAGGTAGAGGTCCTTCTTACTTTCAGAATGTTGCTATAGGAATTCTGACGGGATGTAATGCTTTTAAAACATAATTGGTTCCAGAACATTTAAGAAACAGGACACACCAATTTGGTTTGTTTAAACGCTTGTGGTGGATGCTATTGGGTCCCGGGCTCTAAACGGGATCATTTCATAGGACCAGTGATGTGGATGTTCTATTATTCATGACGTTTTAACTGACTTAAAAATGTTGTATGACAGTAAGTATAATGACTTGGTAATGTCCGTAGACAGGATTCCATGGAACAAAAAACTGAAAATCCCAGACCATCTTCCGGATGAAAATTTCAAGGCCGGCTTGCCCTGAAAACTTGGCTGATTCAGTCTAGTGATTACTTTGGAGACGACTATTGACATGTTAGAGTTTTTCAAAGGTTACGTTATAAAGGTAGTGATTCTTTAGAAAAATTACAAGGATATGACGAATAGACGATTCTACAAGGGCTACATCGCTGAGAAGAGCAAATTAGTCAAAAGTATAATATACTGATGACCTTGAACAAACCAATTAAAATTAAGACAGCGCCTCAGGTATTTTCCGAGAATTTAAAGTTCATTAATAGATAACGTGTATTTTATTATTAATCAAGTTAAAATTGGTAATACTTGATTCTGACAACGTTTGAAATTAACGAAAATATCTATTATACAACTGAAAACATAATTTTAGATTATGTTCAAGCTAAACGATATAGCAAAC